GTCAATTCAAAATTGTAGTACTTATCTGCTTTCTCTACAGCTCGAACTCGGGTCTGTATTTCAACAGTTTAGGGTTTACCAACTGAGCTAGGCCAGTTGGTACTGGTGAGACTTTTATAGTATTTTTCTTTTGATAATTTTTGGTAAGCTAAGCATGAAAAATTGCCAAAGTCGGCAAACTCAAAATTCAGTACATTGCAACTACCTCCCCCCCAAGGCCTTTGCTCCTGTTGCTTGACCCAGCATGACTTATAAATTTCATCGGGGAGAGTGCTGGTATAAGGTGCTCCGTAAAAGGCAACATTAGTAGGCATGGGAGTGAGTATCTGAGCAACTTATTCGATAATTTGGCATTTTCATCATGTCACGTTTCAAATTTCTTGACTTGTGTTTCTTTGTCAATTCATGGTATTTGTTGCTGCCAGCTTCTGGTACTAGTGTGAAAAAGCTCTACCAATTGGTCTTTTTTTTATCGTACTCGAGCCCAGTACAACCACGACTTGTTCACGTGACAACACTATAGTCATGTTTTATCTTCAACAAGAACAAAAGATATGCATCTTATAACAAATTTGTACACAAATTAGATATCGTTTTGTTCTTGACTACTTAACTAGATTGATTCCCCTCTCTTACATATCTCTTTTTCACACTATTTCTACAATTTGATACAACTGATTTATAAAAATCATCTCGTCCCCCCCCCCCCCCCCCCCCTAGCAAATCCTTGTTTTTTCAAAGCATCATCGTGTATCTCAGTAGATAAAGATTGATCTAAACTTACGTTTTTTTTTTTGTCAAACGCCGTCTCCACAAGGCGCCTTCAAGAATCCACCGAAGAGCTAAGGTTTCTCGCCGACTCTTTGGTAGAATGCATGAGACTAGGTGTGGATTAGTAGCAGGTGGGCGGGCCCAGCGCTACCGGGAGCGCTGCGCCCGCCCGGGCCGGAACGACGGGTGCACTAACGCGCGTTGAGATGCGACGCTACAATGGCGCTTTCATGAGGGCGGGTCAATATCGTGGGTGGCGATGACACTTCTTAGAGACTTTCATGGATGTGGAGACAGGAGGGGTGTGTGGTTTGAGGGGCGTGTGGTTTGAGTAGCCATGTTGGTGGGGGGGGCACGTGGCATAGGGTTATGGCACCACTCTTTTTGTCCTCTGTGTTTAATCTCCGTCTCTCGCTTCTCTGGTTCTTTGCTGTCATGGGTCGTTGGATTTGGACTGAATTCTCAGTGAACCTGTGTTGACGGGCTTGGCATGGTCATTCACAACGCAACCGCATTCGGAAAGTAAAAGGGAGGCGAGGGCGTCCCAATAATCTCCTTTGGTTGGTGCACTTTGCCGTGGGGCTATACTAGCATCGGTTGTGGGGAGGAGGAGTGGCTCCTTCTATAGGAAGAGGCAAGGGTTGAGTTTAGTCTGGGCAACGGTTGGGCAGTTGGACAAGGGGACTGCGGGAGCAGAGCGGTGCGTGATGGTCTGCAGTGATTGTTGATTTCATGTGAAGTTCAAGGCGGCGTCACGTAGCGACGAAAGCTCTGAGTGCAACATTTTTTTCAGAATTTAACCCTGAGTACTACTCCGATAGATGATTTGATGGCTAGGGATGTGTCATTGGTGTTTTGGAAATCGAAACCTAGTCTATTTCTTGATATTTTCTTGGATGGTGAATTGAATGTTGTCGATCTCAACATTCGACGAATGATATGTAAATCTGATTTTTGTCTGATTCTCAATTCTCAATTCGTAATTTCCTTTTTTTATGGATTGATGGTCGAAGTTTACAATTGACTATTTTGTTATGTACTCATACAACCATCTAAACTAGCCTTCAGATTACAACATTTGGTAAATTTTCTGAGTTACTTTCTGTCTCAAATTCCCAAAGAACAATTTTAGTTGGGTATTCTAGTTCGTAAAATTTTCATGCTTGCTGACAGGAAATTCATAAGTATACTATGATGCTGATCTTCAAAAAACCAATCGAAAGTCCTATTCAAACATCCTATTCGTAAATGCTAATAATATTTCTTATAGGTTTTCTCAATTTCGCCGTAGATCGATTTCTAATTTGTCATGATTCGATTTTCTGATTTGTCATGGTTCGTCATGAATTCTGCCTAATCTACTGACCTTGGTTACTTTGATGATTTTGTTTTAAACTTTCAAACTTTGACGTGATTTTCCATGTTCCAATTAGTGTTTCCTGATAAGGTTCTCTCACCGGAGAATGTTAGCAAATCTTTTTAGGTGTGTCTGTTGCTGTCATAATTGCGGTTTTTCGATGCCAGAACGACACTGGTCGGTGCTGGGGTGTTGCCCTGTAACCTGCGACGCAGGCCTGGTAGAGAGATCTGGGGATGCTTAGGGGCGGGCATCTCACGGAATAATCAAAGGTTGCTGCCTGGAGGATGTCAGCCTTAGATGGGGTGAGTTGTATTGCCCAGTAACCTAGCGGTGGGGGTGTGAGGCTGGGCAGACTAAGAGATTATGATTGCGTTGGCGAGCCTGAGTAGGGTTGTTATAGTCTCCTTGACTGCTCTGCAAATTGTCAACTAGGTTTCATATTTTTAAATTTTTAGCAGGTAGCCAAAAAACATACAATTAAGGGAAGCAGATGATTCGCACAGACGAAATTTCGTAAGGGGGTGTAACAGGGGAAGGGCCTTAGTCTTCGTCAGTAGGTCAGAAGGACGTGGTTGGGACGACGCAGGCCGGTGCCAGAGCGTTGCTCTGTAACCTGGGAGAGCGTGAGGCTTGGGGAGCTCTGTTGAGGGAGGAAGGCAGAACCACCACGTTCGACGCAGCCGTTGCTGAGGTTTTATCCCTGTCACCTAGGGACGTGCGGCTAATGGGAGAAAGGCACTCCTTGTCGTCCATACCAGGCTGGTCGGTACCGGGGCATGGTGGTGCCCTGTAACCCTAGCACAGGGGGGTATGAGACCAGCCACGTTTAGGTTTGAGGACTGATCACGGGGACTTTGTTTTTTCCAATTGTTCCGTGGGAAGTTTGCTAGTCAGTGGTTTCGGTTCAAATTTTTTGCTTTCATTTTTGTTGTTGTGTCACTCATGTTCTATCTCGTTAAGAAAGAAAAAAAAAAAACAATGGGCAATGTGTTCGGATATGGCTATCCTCTGGAGGTTGTGATTGTTCTCGATGGTTGTGGTAGAACGCTTTTAGTTTCTTGGGACTCCTTGCAATTTCCTTGAGGCGATTTTTGATGCTGTTTTATTCATGGACCTGCGGTTGTTTGATGCCAGAACGATGCTGGCCGGTTAACCCTGTAACTTGTTGACAGTAGGAGCTTGAGGCCTGGTAGAGAGATCTGGGAATGCCTAGGGGGGGCATTTCATGGGACAATCAAGGGTTCCTATCGAAGACGATGCTGGTCGGAGCCGGGGTGAGCTGCTTTGCCCTGTAACCTATAGCGGGGGTGAGAGGCTTGGTAGAGCTTGGTAGGGAATAAGACAACGTCTGAGGACTTTAAGGGTGTTAGGACCCTCTGGCGCTTTAGAGTGTTTGAAGACAATTGCTGGGATTTTCGCTGGTGGATAGTCTCCCCAACTTACCTCAAATAACATTGATTTTGGTAAAAAAAGAGAATGTTTTAGGATTCTGGGGACTTCTAGCAACTCGATTTAGGCTGTTTGATAATGATACATTCATGGATCTGTGGTTGTTCGATGCCAGAACGACACTGGCCGGTGCTGGGGTGTTGCCCTGTAACCGCTGATTGCAGGAGCGTGAGGCCTGGTAGAGAGATCTGGGGATGCTTTGGGTTGGGCATTCCAAGGGACAACCAAGGGTAGCTGTTGGGACGACGCGGGCCGGAGCTGGGGCGAGTCGTGTTGCTCTGTAACCTAGCCGGGTGGGGGTGTGACGCCTGGGAGAGTTCGACAGGGAATAAGACAGTGTTGGACAGTTTCAGAGAGTTTTGTTTTGGGAGTCTAGGGGTTCTGAGCATTCGAAACGAGGTCAGTAGTCATTCATAGTTTTTTAACCTCTCCTTTAATTCTCTTGAATTTCTTCAATAGTTCTTAGATCTATTCTCAGCCGAAGCTGGGTAATGGCCCCGGTATCTCAAATGACTTGTGTAACTGTATATGGGACGCTGGGCCCGGTTCCCAGCACAAGCTGCTCCCCACGAATAGACTGGGGCATTTGTCCTAAAAAAAAAAAAAAAAAAAAAAAAAAAAAAAGTAGGGCCTTCTCATCGAAAAAAAAAGAAAAAAAAAAGAATGCATGGGACTAATTGGATGGTTCCGGAGATTCTGACTTTTCTTACTTCTAAAATAGGTTTGACATTTTCAAATCGCGTTAACGAAATGCGTGATTACATTAACAGACAAGTTATTCCTTAATATCTCTTTTTTTTTTGGTTGAAAAAAAAGGGTGATGACCTTGAGATATCATCGTCGAACTGACCCACCCTAGGTAATTCAGAATTGTGGTAAGTATTTCACTCATCTGCTTGCAGTAAAGTTCAAACTCGGGGCTGAATTTCAACATTTCAGGAGTGTACTAATTATATCCACCTATTGTCATCCTTCATGCCCTTTCCTGACCTCCACCTAAAGAAATCCCAACCATTGCAGTGTGCCATTTGCCTGCCACCTCCAGCCGTTTTGCTATGGACGATCCAGTCAAGTACAAATGATCACCTTACAGTTAATGAACCATTACTTCTAATTATGGTTATGAAAAGCCCACCTTATGGTGATCATTACTTATGGTGGGTTGTGAACACACTGAAAAGCCCACCAGTTAATGATCGTTTGTACTTAACTGGATCGTCCAAAAGGATCCTGAACTCGGAGGATAAAAGCACCAGTACACCACACATCGGCCCGCGGGTGTCAGCACGAAACCCGCACCACTTTGGAGGGTGCCAAATTCTTTTTTCAACGGCGCCCCACGCCGCGCGGCCCCTCCAAGTTTTGCTTGTGACGACAAAAACTTTCTACAAGGCTGGGGCCGTGTACTTGCGGTTAACGGCCCTGTGGTGTTCCTTTATCCTACACTGACCTATAGTTAACGAATGAATGGTTAACGATTACTTTCTAATTATGGTGGGCTTTTCACATCCTTACAGTCCTCCCAGTGGTGATCCTTAAAGCAGTCGTATGAGGAGACTTTCCATGTCCTTCTCACCGTGGTTTTGCAGTTTTCCATTTGCGATGTGATTACACTGGTCCTGACAGCAGCACTCACAGTCCTATTTCTTACTGTTCTTCAGTAGTCTCACATGATCCCTCTGCACTCTTGGTAAACTGGTAGAGTCCTTTTTCTTTGTTGAGTCCAGCAACCGCTGATGAGTGAGTTGTTCAACATATGGAGAAGTGCTGCTCTACCGGCAATGTAACATGAGGAGGTATCTCTATCTTTTCTTTGTTTAGCTCTAATCAGAGCGTACTTAGAAAGGTCGATATAAGATCACATATCTCAATTGCGTCAGTCTTAGGGCCGCTAATGCCTATCACAAAGTCTTCTGCCTACCGCACATAGCTAAGACGTCGGAAGTTTGGGTCCATGGGACCTTCGCCTTTTTCCCCCACAACCTGGCAGGTGGCACTGCCTGGCCTCAATATTATATTAACGTTTTGCACGCCGATTCTCTCGCGAGCTCTGGCGATAGGCAAGGGAGGAGAAGAACTGGATAGTCTGCTGGGAAAAAACAGCCATGCTCTGCTCCGGGCTAATACTGTCCTCGTAGGAGAGAGTTTGGTGCTGGGAAGATATAGAGCTGTTGTTGCTCCAGAGAGTTTTCTCTGCTTCTTTGACTCCAGCTCTGCAAGCTCCACCTGCTCAGTGAAGGTCAGAAACCACAAAAAAGAATTACATGAACCATGAGTACCCAGATAAGTAAAAGTGCAAGGGTGGTGAAAGAAAGGGGATGAAAGAACTGCCAATATGTTTGGGTTTAGAGGAGGGAGGAAAAGGGTCGATTCACTTCCACACAGACCTTGCATGTTTCTCTCCCTCCCCTCTCTCGAGGTCCATTTGCTGTTGACATCTCTCTCTCTCTCTCTCTCTCTCTCTCTCTCTCTCACACACACACACACACACACACACACACACACACACACACACACACACACATACAATCAATCAATTAATCAATCAATCAATCAATTGCACATCTTCCTTCCTTCCTTTTATTCTCTCTGGGTGTCTACATGAGCACCTCTAAGAATTGCCTAATAGTCAATGTCTGTTCGTTTGGAGTGCCTGCAGCACAATTAGGGGGGGGGCTCTGTTGGGGTTGTCTGTGGGTGCACATTCCATGGGTGATGACAGACGCTCGTCAGAGTGGCTTCCTGGCTCTTGCGGATGGTGGGAACCAACAGTCTGCAGTGCCCTACTTGTGGTGTGAGTAGGTGGTCTGCTACTGTGGTACATGTTGGCTGCATGTACTGCCCTGTCTCTGATGCCTCCGCTGCCTTGCTACCCATCTAACTTGCCTCGTCTTTCTATACATCTGTTGTTTGCCGTGTAGTTTGGCTGCTTTGTCGCTGCTGCCTTGCCCTTTGCGGTGTTGTAGCCTTGCTGCACACCCACTTGCCTTGGCTTTCAATGGAGTTTGCCTGTTCGCCATATAGTTTGGCTGCTTTGTAAGCGCTGCCTTGTGCCTTGCTGCACATCCACTTGCCTTTTCTTTCTATGCCGCCTGCCTGGTTGCCATGTAGTTTGGCTGCTTTGTTAGTGCTGACTTATGCCTCACTACGTCGTTGCCTTGCTGCTTGTGCTGCTGTTCGTCCGCTGCAAAGAACTCAGTCCAAATCCGCGCAGACAGAGTCCTCGGCCGTAAAGTTTAGATTCAGGAGTCAAAAGTCGGTCTCAGAAAAGTGCTTTGGTTAACAGGTACAGGGTCAAGGGTCACAAGAGGTGGCCTGCGTCCCCACGAGGTGGTAGTTGACTTTGGGAAGAACAGGAGTCAGGCCCAACTTGGGAAAGGTAGACCAAGAGACAGAGCTTCTCAGGAGTCAAACACGGCCACAAATTTGCTGCACATCAAAGGCTCTGTCGTGTTCCAGAAGTTTCCAGGGCATACTGTGTCCAGGCACACATTGGGCGACAGAAAATCTGCGCCATCCAGATTGGAAATCTCAGCCGCATGAGGAGGCAGCCCTGAGGCAGGCCAAGACCAGTCAACACTAGAAAAGAGTTGCCTACCCCAGTCGCAGCTCATTCATTCTGACTTGCGCTGCTGGAGGCTGGCGCGCCGCTCCATTTAGCGCTGGAGGCAGGAGAGACTGATGCCAGGGAAGAAGAGGACGGCACCGGCCAGCGGAGTGAAGAGAGAGAGTATCCATAGCTAAGAAGGGCGCCTGAGCACTATAGCTGTGGAATGGTGGTAGGGCGAGGAAGAGGCTGATCAGGACTTGCTGAGAGAGAGAGAGAGAGAGAGAGAGAGAGAGAGAGAGAGAGAGAGAGAGAGAGCTGGCCTTGCCGCTTCCCTACCTTTGTCTCACTTCTGGTTACTCACTGCTGAGTTTTGGGACTTCTTTAAGTGCGTCATGACTTCTTTCTGCATTGCCGTTGTTTCCACTTTGAGTGCCTTGAGACTACTTGCATGGTACTGTTGTTGAAGCTTCTCATGATTTCTGGGTTCATAAACCGCTTCAGCAGGGGTCTAAAGAATAGTAAAGAGTTTATTACTTAAAGCATCAATATCGAGATTCCACAGGTTGTCAAGGGGTCAGCCTACTGATGAGTCAATGCAAGTCCGATGAAACAGTCTGTCACCATCTGATTTTTTTTTTCATTTTTATTTTTTGCTCTCTGTTTTTTTTTCTTCTTCTTTTTCTTTCCAGTTTGGTACTTGTACTTTTGTTGCCCGTTTTTCTTCTGCGCTTTGCGGCCTTTGCATGTTTACATTCGTTGGTTGTGTATACCAAGCTGCAAGCTCTTTTTCGAGTGTCGCTTATTTGACATACTTTTTGCCCGCTGCCTTTTGCCTCGCTGCCTTTTGCCCTGTGCTGCCTTTTACCTCGCTGCTTTTTTTGCCTCGCTGCCTCTTGCCTAGCTGCCGTTTGCCTTGCTGCCGTTTGCCTTGCTGCCCTGTCTTTCCATGCCGCTTGCCTGGTCGTTTGGCTGCCTTCTGTCTCGCCGCTGTCTGCCTTACTCTCTTTTGCCTCTCTGAGTCTCTGCCTTGTCTTCCAGTGCTGCTTGCCTGGTTGGTTAGTCGCCTTTTTCCTTGCCGCTTTTTGCCTCCCTGCCTTTTGCCTCCCTGCCTTTTGACTACCTGCCTTGTGCTGTTTGTTGCACTGCTCCTTGGCTCGCTGCTTTTTAGCTTGCTGCTTTTTGCTTTGCCACCTCTTGCCTCACTGCCTTTTGCCTTGCTGCCTTTTGTCTCGCTGCCTTGTCCTTACTTGCTGCTAGCCTGGTTGTTTGGCTGCCATTTGCCTCGCTGCCGTTTGCCTCGCTGCCGTTTGCCTCGCTGCCGTTTGCCTCGCTTCCTTTTGCCTCACTGCCTTTTGCTTTGTTGCCTTGCTACTTCGCTGCCTCACTGCCATGCGGCTTCATAATGCTGCCCTAGTGCTTACCAAGTTGTTTGTCCTTCATTCTTCTGCGCTTTGTGGTCTTGCATGGCGTTTTTTGCATTCCTTCCATAGACATAAGCTTACTGTCGGACACAACATGCCGCGGTACAATCCCAGAAGTCTTACCCCTTCCCCCCCCCC